CCCCCCCCCCCCCCCCCCCCCCCCCCCCCCCCCCCCCCTCCCCGCCCGCACCCCGAAAAAAAAGAAGACCCCTACGAGGAGTATCCGTCGCACTCGCAGCCAACACAACAAAATCCGACGATTAAAGTCCTTCCTATCTCCAGACGACAAAACGAAAATCCACGTAGTTTAGCCACAGCGAGTACAACACCCCTCTCTCCCTCTCTGTTAATTTCCATTACAAGCACGTCATCAAGTCCCACGCCGTACGCTTCAGTAGGCGTTGTACCCTCCTTGGTATCCCCCTCGGTATCCCCCCCGGTACCCCCCCCGGTACCCCCCGCGGTAGCCCCCCCTCCCCCTTCCCCTCCCGCGGAAAGATGGGTACGCCGGCTCCGCGTAGAAAGCGCTGCCGCCACCACGCCCCCGCCCCCGTCCGCGCCCACCTCGCACGCTCAGTCCCGGCACGTTTGTTCTTTTCGGCGTAACCTATTCATTCAATCGACGCAATACAAAATAGGGGGTGGTATTCAACGTCACACATGGTAATTCCAATCCCAAGCCACGGGACAAGTGCTCCGCTGACATGCTCGAGGGGCGAACTAGTGGCAATCGACGCAGTACACGTTTGCCGTTAACGGGGGGTACTGGTGGTTGCACATGGCCAGTCCGAATCAAATATCTAGCCCTGGCACAAGTGCTCCACTGTTGTTCGTGGGGGACAAACCAACAGAACTGGAACTCATGAGGTCGGGGTGGTGATAGGGGAGGGGAACTCGCCTTCACAGCTCTTGGAACGAAAATAACATGAACGCACGCATACAAGCGTGTGCGCAAAACGCGCCCTCACATTCTTTTCGATCTTTTCGGCGCACAAACACCACTAACGATCATGGAAAACGGGACGAAAATAAGCACAAAACAGTCGTCATAAATGCTCAACAGTAAGTATGTCGTTTCCATGCAATGCAGGATACGGTGCCGTCCTCAACGGAAAATGACCATAACGTGCACCGATACAGTATCATTGTTGTCCTTGGGGGCTGGAAAAAAATGCAAAAAAACATGGCTATATAGCACATAAATAATGAGATACACCTGCTACGTAACAACAAGCACGTCTTTTCAGTGTTCTTCGTGACACACCTTGAGGTTGCGGCCCTTGAAGGGGGAGTTGTCCAGAGCGAGGGCGTTCTCGGACCCATCCTTGTCGGCGAACTCGATGTACGCGTACCCCTTAGGCCTTCCCGAGAACTTGTCGCACAGGATGGTCACCCGGTTAATGGTGCCGCACGCCTCGAAATGACTCTGAAGCTCATCTGGTGTGGCGTCGTAGTCCACCTGTCCGACGTACCTGTTTTTTTTAATAGGGGTGTTGTATTTTTTATGGGGATTCCAAGACAAGGGAGGCAGGGAGAGAAAGGAGGTCTAGCAGCGGTTACGGTATTCGAACGCATGCACGGAGAGGGAGGGTCTTGATCAAGGGTCGAGCTAAATCATACTTCGTGTGGGGGGATCAAAACGCTGCTGGTTGTTGGTTATGTGAGGGTATCCAAAGAGCACGGACCGCGCTCAGCGGCTGACACACGAAAACACGTCAGTGCGGGTGAGTGTGCAATGCCGCTCTGCGCTTGCCGTTCTCAAGAGAAAGACATATGTCATGGATCAAGTGGCAACGTGGAGTACCATCGACCTCGTCATTGCGCACGTACGAATCGCACTCAAGGAATTTGGCAGCTTGGCCCGCGAATACTTTCAAGGGGCCAATTTGGTCGGCGGCTGCGACCACGTCAAAAACGCAGCAGGCAAAACTTAATTTCTTAAATTAAAGAAAAACATGCGCCATGTTGGATCGAACCTCACGGCCAAACAAGCCACCCCTCGTCTGAAAATCGCATAGGTCTCTCCCTCCCCGCATAACCGCAGGCACACCAACATGTCATAGACGCGTCGGGTTTCGTGATGGGTTATCAAGATATACAATATATATATCGAAACGCAGTCCTTATCGAGGAAGGAGATTAAGGGTAAAAGCCACCACGTACGCACGCGAGCACAAACGCAATAAAAAATACCGTGGAACGCTCTGCAACGAAATAACACGTACTTCAGTTACCCACACCGACGTTTGTATTGACGCGCTCGACAAGCTAACCGGCTGTGCACCTCGCAGACACCCTTCGAGAAAGCGGTTCAAGATACCTTCTCGTATCGTATGCGCACCTTCTCCACAAACAACGCAACGGACCGAAACACACGCTTCAAAGACACTCACACAACGACACGAATCGTACACCAAAACTTTGACGACACTCAAGAAGACGCTTTGTAAGACGCTACTAAGACTAAGACATTAGTTATACTAAGACTGTGACGCTATTGTGTGATATTACTCACACGAAGACTAAGACACTATTGCTATCGTAAGACACTACCAAGACTGGGACACAACTATTCCACACCAAGACGAACACACTATTGTAAGACACCACTAACACTAAGACAATACTCACACTGAAGACTCATCGGGGGACTTTGCGGCCTCGCTGGCCGCAGCCGCTGCCGCTGCCGCCGCAGCCGCAGCGGCTGCCGCCGTGGCGTGTGCTGTCGAGTCCGAGATGATCTGCTGCAGCCCCTCCAGCTTCTCCTCCTCGTCATCCGGGTCCTCCATGCCGTCGATCTAGTGTACCGCACAACAACATCAGTGCACGAGTTGACATGATTAAAACTCATCCGGGTCGTCCATGCCGTCGATCTAGTGTACCGCACCACAACATCAGTGCACGAGATGGCATGATTAAAACTGGGTTGGGAGGGGGGGAGGGCTAGGCGGCATAAACCGTACTCTGTGTTCCTGCAATATTGACTCGTGGGGTTTGTTGGAGTGATCCACACCGGAAGGGTTCCATGCCCTAGATCGATGTGCTTAAGGTACTTGGTGAGTCCACACGGAAACCATTGTACACTCCACATGATGTAGACAGCGAAAATGAAGGGAGCACGGGGGTTGTATACAACGCGCACCGTACATGCACAAGGTACTGTAAGTCCCCCTTGGGTTCGAGAGGGGAAAACGTGGCCTTCAATGTCATCTGGGTCGTCCATACCGCCGATCTACAGTACCTACTTCTCACAGCGAACGATATCCATGGACAAGTGTGTTTGTAAACCACCACCTTGTTCTCTGCAGCTACTCGAGTCATTGGTATGCATTTTCTACTTCTGTAGAGTACATGCGGAAGCAAGAGATGATACTTTTTACCCGACATGGCAAGCTCGACGACACCCTGCACGCTCTGCTTACCTCTTGCTTTGCCTTCTCGAAGTCGTCGTCCTCCTCGGCAGCCGCTACCGTAGCAGCAGCCGCGGCGGCGGCCAAGTCCTTGCCTTCCGCCGGGGCGGCGCCGTCTCCTGGGGCAGCCGCACCGTTACCAGCGGTCTCCGCCGTAGTCTCTACGTCCTCGCCGAGCATTGCCCTGCGGTGGCAAGCGGAATTCCATTTGTACAGGGCATGAAAAGCAGTACTTCCACATAAACGTGACAAACTCAGAACAAGAGTTTGTCTACGTCCTCGTAGAGCATTGCCCTGTGTCACCGAGCGGATTCCAAGTGCACAGGGCTTGAAAAGCAATACTTCCACAAACATGCATGTTGTCGAAATACAGGGCGTGGAAAAAAAGACAAAAGGGTTGACACACCATAAATTGAAGCAGTAGGGTCGTCATTTAGTGCTCCCCTAATGTAGTAACCCTGACCCTAGCTCTCACTTGCGATAGAGGACTCTATCTGGTACTTGTATATGTTGTATCTGTATCGTATTGTATTGTAGCATGTATTGGAATGGTGCGCGAGTGATCGCACCCCATCCAGCACGCCTTTCGTACACTCGTATGTATGCATAGCTCAATTGCTCCACCAGGTGCGAAAACCGATCGGCACGTGCGAGGAAACTTCTTGACAAGATATTTCCCAATTCACCCCATTTTCCCCAGCAGAGTGGTGCCCGCTTGGCTGCTGTGGAGAATTGATGGGGCTTTGAAAGTCGGGCTAGGGAGGGGGGGGGGGGGGGGGGGGGG